CGACGCCAAAGTGCAGACGGAGAGGGAAACGCGCAGGCATGGAAACATGCTGCCGAGTACCTTGCGCGCGATCGTCTGCGGCCCGTCGAACTGCGGCAAGACCAACGTGCTGATTAGCCTGCTCGAGAGCCCGAACGGCGTACGTTTCGAGAACGTGTACGTCTACTCGAAATCGTTGCGACAGCCAAAGTATCGCTACCTCGAAAAATTGCTGACACCTATCGACGAGATCGGCTACTTTACGTTCTCCAACAACAGCGACGTCGTTCCGCCGAACGAGGCGCTACCGAATTCCATCTTCGTCTTCGACGACGTGGCGTGCGACAAGCAGAACGCGGTGCGCGAGTACTTCGCGATGGGTCGACACGCCGACGTCGATTGCTTCTATCTCTGTCAGACGTACGCGAGGATACCCAAACATCTGATACGCGACAACGCGAATCTGCTGATTCTGTTCGAGCAGGACGGTACCAACCTGAGACACGTTTACAACGATCACGTGAACACCGACATGTCGTACGACGCGTTTCGCGCGCTGTGTCGCGAGTGTTGGCTACACAGGTACGGATTCGTAGTGATAGACAAGGACAGTGCGATCGCAAACGGCAGATACAGAAGAGGATTTAACGAGTTCGCGATACTGTAACGCCGTCATTCGTCGTTCGTACCTCGACCGAGATGGCTAACGAGCGCGAAAAAATCGCGAGGGAGATCGAGCGGACGAGCGAGTCGATCCGCAGGAAGCACCGCGCTCTGAAGACCGGTAGAATCGACGAGGACCGTGCGCTGGACAGGCGTTTCGGGCCTATCGTCGAGCCGTTGCGACGGATCGCCGGTCCCGTCGTGCGCGCAACGAAGACAGAGTCGTATGCCGCTACTCCTAAACGCAAGAGGGAGGAGGAGGAGGAGGAGGAGGAGGACTTCTTCGTGACTCCGCGCACGCGTTTCTTCGATCGAACGCCGATAACCTCCACACCGCATGCACCTACCCAACCGTCGGAGTCGATCGACTCCGAGACGACAACGTACGCGACGCTCGCGATACCCGATCAGAATCATTCGTCGGAGAACCGAGAGAAATCACGAATTAATATGGGCCCGCTGAGTCTGAGGTACGTCGAGCCTGTCCTGCGAGGACTCAACGACAGCGGGATGGATCGCGTGTACGGCGCTTACTTGGACAAGGACGGATTGATGCTCGGCAGTAAGCGTTTCGACGTGGATAACGAGGATAACATAATTATCGACGGCGTGCGACACGCCGGTACACCCGGCCTCTACGAGCTGATCTTCAAGAGAATTCCCGACGATACGCTTCAAACGGAACAAGACATGCGCGAGTACAAGAGCCTGCTGCAGGCGACGAACGCGCACAGACACAAGCACCATCCGCTGGGCCGAGTACTGGCCAACAGGGGATACAAGTACAAGAATGTAATAAAGCCGTTGGTCACGCCTAAGAAAAAATCTGGAAAAGGAGTACCTCGCGCCATGACGTTGAACGACGGAGCGATCGAGTACGTGCACTGGGACGATCCCAACGAGCTGGTGGAACGTCTGCGGTTGCTCGACGCCTCGCATCGAGCGGGCAACGCCGCTCACGGCAACGAGATGCTCTCGATCATCGAGGAACTTCGCGGAGCGGGCGTTATTATAAATTGAGTCGCGTTTCGACGAAACGACTCAGTCGACCATCGAGTATCATTATGAGCGTCGAGAGGCGCAGACTCGTCGAGGAGTTGCACGCTCCGGCGAGAAGAAATTTTCCGCGAAGACGCGTCGTGGTACGGGGATACGACGATCTGTGGCAGGCCGACATCGTCGAGATGCGGCCGTACTCGAGCCAGAACAGGGGCCGTCACTACGTGCTCACCGTCATCGACGTGCTGAGCAAGTACGCGTGGGCCGCGCCGCTCAGGAGCAAGGGCGGTAGCGAGACGGCCGACGCTATCGCGAAGATAATTCGCGAGAGCGGGAGATGCCCCAAGAACCTGCAAACGGATATGGGGAAGGAGTTTTACAATTCTCATGTGGAGAAACTCTTGAAGAAGCATGACATCAATCACTACTCCACGTATTCCGTAATGAAGGCGTCGGTGGTCGAGCGGTTCAATCGTACGTTGAAGAACGACATGTGGAAGATGTTTACGCTCAACGGCACGTACAAGTGGGTCGACGCGCTGCCGCGTCTCGTGTCGGATTACAACGCGCGCAAGCATCGCACCATCGGCATGCGGCCCGCCGACGTGACCCCCGCTGTCGCCGAGAGACTCCTGGACACGGTGTACGGCGCGATAAAGATCGCCGGTCCCGCGAGGTTCAAAGTGGGCGACGCGGTACGCGTGAGCAAGTACAAGACGATCTTCGAGAAGGGCTACACGCCGAATTGGACCACGGAGGTGTTTCGAATCGTCAGAGTGCAGAGGACCAATCCCGTGACGTATCTCCTGAAGGATTATCGCGGCGAACCGGTCGCCGGAGGATTCTACGAGCACGAGTTGCGTCGCGTCGCTGATCCCGACGTGTATCTCGTGGAGAAAGTACTGCGTAAGAAAGGAGACAAGGTGTACGTCAAGTGGCTGGGATTCGACGGATCGCACAATTCGTGGATAAATAAACGAGACGTCGTGTGAATAATAATAATTTTTTTATTCGTATATAAAATATATATATATATATCAATATATGTATATTTCAAAAATAAATATATCAATGTATCACGATATCGTTGTCGTTCTTTATTCCTTTCAATACTGCAACGATACACACGTGCGTACAATGACGATAAAGTATAAAACTCTCTCTGTAACGTTACCATACGTGCATGCGAATGACTGCGGAGTACAAACTCAGTATATAACTCAATACGCAACACTCAATACGTAAAACTCAATACATAAAACTCAATACGTCTAGGTACAAGTTCAAGTATAAGTAAAAGTACAAGTTCAAGTATAAACTCATAACACTCGATACGTAAACCTCAATACATAATACTCGATATGTAAAACTCGATACGTAAACCTCAATACATAATACTCGATACATAAAACTCTATACATAAAACTCAATAAGTATAAACTCAGTATAAAAGTACGTAAACCTCAATACATAAAACTTAATACGTAAAACTCGATACATAAAACTTAATACGTCTAGGTATAGGTACGAGTATAGGTATGAGTATAAGTATAAACTCAGTATAAAAGATACATAAAACTCGATACATAAAACTTAATACGTAAAACTCGATACATAAAACTTAATACGTAAAACTCGATACATAAAACTTAATACGTCTAGGTATAGGTACGAGTATAGGTATGAGTATAGGTATGAGTATAAGTATAAACTCAGTATAAAAGTACGTAAAACTCAATAAGTATAAACTCAGTATAAAAGTACGTAAAACTCAATACATAAAACTTAATACGTAAAACTCGATACATAAAACTTAATACGTCTAGGTATAGGTACGAGTATAGGTATGAGTATAGGTATGAGTATAAGTATAAACTCAGTATAAAAGTACGTAAAACTCAATAAGTACAACGCAATATAAAAGTATGTAAAAGTATATGTACACAACACTCGAGCTACACTATCCGGTAATGCCCCCACGGTAAGGTGTTCGTCGATTCCGGTACGACGTATCGTTTGTCGTCGTACGGACTCAGAGCGATCTTCTTCTCCGACACCGTGTACACCCGGTGTAACTTGGATCGTATGCACGCCTGCCTGCGCGTCATTTCGATGTCATCCTTCAGGCACCGGGTGTAATCCTCGAACGATATCGTTCGCGCTACGACGCTGCTCTTCACCCCCTTCGCCTTCTTCGTGTCCCTCTTTCCGTCGACGCGCAGAGCGTACATCTTCGCTCTGAGCCCGACGAACTCGGTCATGATGGCGCCGTTGTTCTCGTCCTTCATGAGACCGGGCACCTTCTTGTTCGCGAGGGGCATACCGTACGCGTTGTTCGCGGGATAGTCGCTCGTGTCGAATCTGTCTATGTCGCGTTTCATGGTTTCGTACACGTCGTCGCACTCTACACGGTAGATCAGACTGTCCGTGTCGGTGTACATGATCTCGCATCTATCGCGAAACAGCGGCGTCATGTAGTCGTGGTGAAACTCGTACAGGCACGTTTTCGAAATGTCCAGGATGCACATACCCACGTAGATAGGCTTGTCGAATTTCACCTCGAGTTTACGCAATTCGACCGCTATCAGGTTCTCCGCGAAGACGCTGCGGCTGTGGAAATTAGGTTTCGCGATCAACGCCTCAGCGCCGTATCGTCCTTCCCACGCCGTCACCAGTTTAACGTCGACGCGTTCGCGCACGTTCTCCATCGTCTTGCCGAACACCGCGTTGTTCATCAGTTTGTACAAGTTTTTCTCGAAATCGTTTTTCGCGCGCGTTCGAAACTGCGTGTTCAATTCGATGTAGTCGCGGAGCCAGGCGGATTGCGCGAATCGCAACACTCGATGGATCTTCGTTACGCGAAGACCGTGACGCGTGCACTGTTGGAGGTTGCGGTAGTGGACGACGTACCGCTGCTTGTCGCTTACCGTCGCGAGAAGCTTGTCGTCCCGCTTGCCGGGCGGTTTCTCTCGCGTCGGGCAGAACGGCAGGTCGGCGTGCGCGTCGTGAAGATGTTGCGGATACTCCAAGTCCACCTCGAGGATGTACCCGGTGGGTGAATCGAGCGCGACGGTAGTAAAGTCAAAATTGTGCGCGTCGTCGACCCATTGAAAGTCACCGTAGGGTAACGGTTGGCACATCGCCCAGCCGTACAGGTTGTTCACGTCGTAATACACGAGGTACGACGACGGTTCCGACGGGTCGTACGACCTCATGTACTTGTTATTGGCCCGCGCGTATCTGCCGGAACACTGGCTGAGACCGCCGCGTATACCGCGCTCGACGAACATCACCATGTCTATGTCCGTGAGCAGCTCGAACTTCACGCGCGTGTGCTTGAGCATCGCGTCCCACGTGAAACCGGGCAGGGTGTAGTAGTGCGCGGGATCGAGTCCGTAGCTCGCGACGCAACTGTCTCGAAAGTTCTCAAACACATCGGCCAACAACAGGACGTCAGTTTTTAGGTAGAGATCACTGTACTCGCCGAGCGTTCGCACGGCGAACCGCTGCCACACGTTCTCGGCGTGCGCGTAATCGCTCTCGGACACCGTATCGCCCGTCAGCGAGCTGTGGAACGATTCGCGCGGCGGCAAGCGCGTATCGTTCAGTCTCTCCACGCTGTCCACGTACTCGTAGGGGAACACCCCTTTGCGAGTGATCAGATTAAAGTCTTCGAGAGCCGAGAATTCGGAACGCACTATTTTCAGTTTGTCCTTGTCGAGGTACGACGCCAATTTGTCCAAACCCGCACTCAGAAACTTGTAAGAGTCAATAAACCGTAGTTTCACGCACTTTCGCGAGTCTTTGTCACTAGGGTCACTGGTGTCCTTCACATGTTTCGTGAAGGAGATGTACTTCTCCTTGGTCAGGGGAAGTAGATCCACCTGTCCCTGGAATCGCGTCGCTATCTCCTGTACGATGAAGTGCGCGTCGTACCCCGACAGGTTGTGGAACACAACCGGAATGTACGGGGAGTCCTTGTAGTTCACGTTGCATCCCATGTGCGCCGGACCGCGGTACCGCCCGGTGAGGTGGCAGTGGTCGCGCACCCGCTCGTCACCCGGAGCGAACGGCCTCTCGCAGATGTGGCAGTGCGTCGCGCTGTCGAATCGCCGCCAGTCGTCGCGCGTAAAGTCCATGGGCAGGTTGGTCGTCAGCGCGTTCTTCACGCGATGCGCCAAAGCCTCTAGCTGGCTCGCGAACCAACTGACGCAGTCGTCGCCCCGCCGACACCTGTACTCGGACAACGAGTCGTCGTACGAGCACCGCACGTAATAAGCTATACTGAACGCTTTGTGCCGTTGGTACGCGTACGACGCTGATGATGCTGCGGCATCCTCGGTTTTCCGCAAGACGCACTCCAGGTCGGCGTACACTATAAACGGCACCCGCTCCTTCCTGGAGTGCTTGCTGAACTCGAGCCACCTTTGCTCCACGCACGGCAGGCGGATAGCGCACGTGTTGAGCTTTTGGCAATCCTCGCTGTGTCTCTCCAGTTTCTCGCTGGAGGAGAAGTAGTGGAGGCACCTGCAAACGACAAACACTTATTGGTACAACATTTTCAGCTTACTGTTGTATTTCACTTATCGCACTCACCGGTCGCAGAAGTATTTCCTATTCTTCTTTTTGTTAATCTGCGATCCTACGAGGCGGGAGAGATCTTTGATCCACACGAAGTGGCCGTCGCCGTCTTGCACGTACAATAAATTGACGTGCCTGTCCCTCTTGCAGTCGGTGAGCCGCAGAGGGAGGACGTTCCCGTCCTCGATGCCGTACACGTTGATCGAGATATCGTTCGACCGCTCGAATTTCGCAACGTCCTTGAGCGTTACCGGAAACTCGATATCCGCGAAGTTGAGCACTTTCGAATAATGCGGATACGACGATTCACGTTCCGTGTTTCTTTTCGCGGGGTACAAAGCAGCGACCACCGCCCACGCGAAGCACGCATTGTCCATGGATCGCACGTTGATCGCTTCCTTCCTTTTAAATTTTTCCGGAAATGTAACGTAACACCCCGCGCGCATGGGATTGAGTTTATTCACATTGACCGTTAGGTTCAGAATACGCGAGAGCGCCCACCCGCTGTCGCGCTCCTGATGCTCATCGAGCGACGCCAGCGTGGGCTCGATAACGCGCGACGCGTACCACTCGCGCAGATCGGTGCACCGATACAGTTCACAGTTTTTAACGTTTATCCCCATAACTGTGCGTTTGTCACCCGCGACGAACTCGTCGTTGAAGGCGGTGTTCACCTTCACGCTCCCGTGTATGTCTATAGCGCCCCGCACACGCTCGAGCACTACACTTTTAGCGTCTTCGAGGAATTGTCGCGGCTCGATATGTCTGGAGTTTATAACGGCACCGGTCATAACGCGATTGGCGAAAGCGGCGTCGATCTCGCGCCATACGAGAGATCCGTCGCGATCACCACCACCACCCACGTGCACGAACCGTTGTTTCAGCACTGTTCGCGCACCCACGAGTCGCGCGATCCTCGCCACCGCGGATTGTCTATGACCGACGGTGAGACACGGACGCTTGGCGCTACACTCGAGGCTCTCGATGCACTCGTCGCATCATTGCATCCACGCGAGACACTCGCTCAAAATATCTACGCGACCGCAATGTTCGATCAGTTCGCGTTCCGCACGCTCGTAGTCTTCCATTTTTGGAATAGAAAATTATTCGGAGCACTTGCACTCACGTTTCTTGCACATTTTGCAATATCGTTCAGCTTTTACAATGTCAAAGAGGCCCAGTACCTTACCATTATGCATGCTAGCTGCCCAACACTTATCGCATTCACAGTAACATTCATCACTATCCCTACCGCACTTGTCACGAAGTAGTTTAGCAGGATTTCTTTCATGATTTACAAGGGTATATTCCCTATCATCGAACCGACTTCGGCGATGTTAACCATGCACACAGGGCTAGCGCTCCGCCGTGTAGCACTGGATCGTTTCACGCGAAAAACACCCAGGATTTGCGCGTCCGGGATAATTTTTCGCACACGATCGTTCTCAAGATCGCTGACGCATCTACGGATAACACGCTGTCGTCGGAAGACTCGACGTCTATAACGTCTTCGTTCATCACTTCGTCACACACACTATTCGACTTGCACACTTAGACACTCGCGGCACCTAATGAGACGTACCGCGCTTCCGACTCGCTATTTATACCGTTTCTTTGTCGGCGTCTTCCTATAACTGCATCTCGCCACTCTTCTTAGAAATTTTATCGCGCGAGATAACGCGTAGTAATTTGATACGTTCGGCAGCCATCGGCGCTCTTCTTAGAAGATAACGCGTAGTAATTTGATACGTTCAGCAGCCATCGGCGCTCTTCTTAGAAGATAACGCGTAGTAATTTGATCCTTGTGCGAACCTGTCAAACGCGTTGAAACTTGATACTCGGTATCGTCTCGCATTTTGAAAACGCCCGGCATGCGTCACGTGATCAGTGCCATGTGATCGCTGCGCAAACCTGTCGTCGCCTGCATCGGTCTTTTGACAAAGAGCGGCGCGATAAGGCCGGCGGCCTGCAATAATATCCCGCGGCCCCAGGGCGAGGGGGGGACAGCGGGGGGACGGCGCGATAAGGCCCCTGGGTGAGGGGACCGCGCGGCGGCGG